TCATCTTATATTATGACATTTTGAACCTCTTATTTTATTAGATTTGTAAGTTTTAATCCTTTATCTATTAAAATCGAAAAAAATAACCTTCATTTTATACTACCTGTTAACTTTATTAGTTAAAAGTAAGTTTTTGTCAACTAACAGTCAACTAATAGTCAGTTAAAAGAATAAACCACATATTATAAAATCAGTTTTGTTTGTTGAAAAAATTTTTTGTCAGATAATAGAATTAACAATTAGTTAACAGAATTAACAAAATGTTACAAAATGAAAATTATTTTCTTCAATTTTAATATGTAAGGGGTTACAAATGTTATAATATAAAATAAAGAATTAAAATCTATAAATTTAATAAGATACAAAATTAAAAATATTATAATATAAAATGAAAAATTAAAACTTTTATATTAATTAAACTGAGGGTTAAAACTAGTCTTTTGTCGGGGCAGGGTGGAGGCGTCATTATCAATGGTAATTTAGGGCTTATATACAAGGGAATTTGGGCAGAAAACAAGAGGCATGTGGCACATACGTGTCTAAGAAAGGGAAGCCCAGAGTGGGGACCACATCCTTTGCATGTATGTATTAAAAAGTGACCATGGCAGCAGTTACACTTCTCCCTTTGCACTGCTGTGCTCTCCCTGGCCCTGCTCCCACCAAACCAAAAGAATCTAAAGCACCCTCTTCTTCTTCTTCTTCTTCCTGCAGACCCTCGTCTATATTTCTTAAAAAAGGCCGGAAAACTTCGCCGGAAATTCCACTTTCTCACTTCGTACCAGTAGATCTCCGGGTAATTTTTGTTTTTATTTCTAATTCTTTTTTTTTTTTTGGGAGCGATTTTTATCTTCTTTTTTTTTTACATGCATTGGTTTATCTTTTATGTTTTTGACAATTTCTCTTGAGAAACTCTCTTTCCTGCTCTGCTTTTGAAACGTTTCGCCGGTTAATCATCTTGCATGTCGATGTTTTGATTCCAACGAAGTGATGTTGGTTTGATTTATAGTGGCGGTGTTGATGCGAAGTATGGTTGCTTTCACTAACTTCTTTGTGGTGGCACCGATGCCTTTCTTTTTTTCATTTTATGGAAAATCAGTTGTTTTATAATGTGAACATGGTTTTTTGAATGCCTGCGCCTTGGAACAACTAGCAACGACCAAGACGGTGGACTTCTGACTTCTGAGTCCCTGAATCTAGGCTTTTAGTTTGGTGCGATGGTATGTAATTGCAAAGACTTGCCTTTTTAGTCATATCTTAAAAATATATTTAATATTTATTTTAATTAATATTTTATATATTTTTAAAATAAAAAAAAATAAAAATAAAAACAAAAAACTAGAGAGACCCCTCAAATGCATCCGTCTTAAGTTAACTGCTGATGCTGAACCCGTGCTGAAAATAGTCTGGGTTGGATCTGCTCTCTTGATAGAAAATTTGGGCAGGATCAGCCCATTGCCTTTGTAGAAAAATTCCGATGATTTTTAGAGGACTTTTTGGATTTGGATAAACCCCCAGCAATTTAGTAGAATAGAAAAAATAAATTTAATTAGTGGAAGTAGAAGTTTTGTGTAATTATTATTATTATTATTATTATTATTTTGGTGTGGCATAATAGTTTTGTTTTAGATGATTGAATCCCGTGGTAATTGGTGCCTTAACTCATCTGTTTTCTTATGCAGAGAGTTTGTGCCATGTATGGCATAAGCATGAATGTTCAAAGTTACAATCCAATTTAAGTTGAGAGGGGATCCTTCATTACATGATAAAGAATGGCTCTTTCAGAATCACAGAGAATAGCCTATGGTGGCACAAAATCGGGTTCGAATGCACAGCCTCATCGATCACCATCACCACCTGAGGATTTTCTAACAGATCTTTCTGCCTCATTGTCATTGAGTAAACAGAATTCCATTTTTTCCCTCACACTCGGTGAAATTCAACTCAAGAGTGGGAAGAGTGTTGGGTCCATGAACATGGATGAGTTCCTAGCCAACTTGTGGAATAATGTTGAGGAAAATCAGGTTTCATCCCATCCCAACCAGAACCAAAATGAAACCATCAATGAGAAATTAGACTCAGCTAATCAACCCACTTTAGCACACCAAGGCTCATTTTCTATCCCTACTCCCCTCTGCAAGAAAACTGTGGATGAAGTATGGTTTGAAATACAGAAAGATCTACCACAAGGCCACAAAGCGAATAACATTATTAGTGATCAACATGAACCACAGAGACAACATACTTTTGGGGAGATGACATTGGAAGATTTTCTTGTGAAAGCTGGGATTGTTCAGGAACAATCACATTCTTCTCAGCAAAGGAAGGTGATTCCTCCTCAGAACAACAATTCAAGTTTGGATGCAAACTTTTCAATGGGGCATGTGATGGGATCTTCTCAACAAAACATAAACTTGGTGCCACCTCTTCAAAATAGCAATGTGAATTTGGATGCTAGCTTTGGACTGGGAAATGTGCTAGGGATGGCGTTCCCTACTCACCAAAATGCAGGCAACAGTTTCAGTACTGCCAATGGTTATGCAACAACATACCCAATGTTCCCACAGAACAGAAGTTTATTTGGAGAGTCATCTACCAATGCTGAAAATGGGAACACTGCTCAGTGTTTGCTAGAGTCTGTTGCAGTGCCGAACAAAAGGAGAATTATAGATGGCCCCCCCGAGGTGGTTGTAGAAAGGAGACAACGTCGAATGATAAAGAATCGGGAGTCTGCAGCAAGATCTCGGGCAAGGAAACAGGTTCTACATATATAATATAGAACATGGATGTGCTTCCCTAGAGCCCTGAATTATAACTTGGGAACCTCTTGTTTCTCAACTGAAGTGCTATGGTCTCACACTTCATTAATTATAATTAACTTGTTTCTGTATGCACAGGCCTATACTGTAGAGTTGGAGCTGGAGTTGAATCAACTTAGAGAGGAAAACGAAAAGTTGAAGCAACTTCTGGTAAGTGGTAAATAAAATCTTACCAAAGCCATACTCTCTCTCTCTATATATATATTTCTTCTCTTCCAAAAAATTATGGTCCTTGACCATTTTCTCAATTTTAATTGGCATAGGAGGAAAACGAACAAAAGCGAAAGCAAGAGGTATGTCCCAATGCCAATTTCAGTAAAAGATGGGGGAAGCATACTGATCTGTATAAATGTCAAGGAAGAATGAGTAGATTTTTTCCTTTATGCATATATCAAAAAGTTAGTTATTTACTCGAAATTAGCTAGCTAGCTAGCAATAAAAAAGGTTTGAACGTCCAACTTTAACTTCAGAATATATAACTATATATGGTTGTCATTTGATATTTATACCATTTCCTACATGCGTATGCATCACAGGTTCTGAAAAGGAAGCAATTAGCACCTGCACAAAAGAAGGTTGTTGACAAGTTAAGGATGGTAAGGAGGACTGTTAGCTTGGAATGGTGAAGCAGAATAGCAGAAGATACAGAGAAGATACATAATTAATTATGTAATATCTCCAAGACTAAATATTAGTGTCGTCAAGTGTGTGTGTATATATATATATATATTTGAACATTAGAGTGGTTTAAGTAGGTCTCTCAAATAGTTTTTGTAAAATAAATAAATTCTGGTGTGTAATAAGATCGTCATTATGTTGATATATATATATGTATAGTAGCATAATGTTTATTTGTTTTGGCATATAGGAAATTTTCTACTAATTATTTACATTTTTTGTCGTTTCAAAATAAGAGTGATTATTTACTAAACTTTTATTTTAAAATATGCCAAACATAAATTAATCACCATTTCTTTCTCAAAATTTTTTTTTTTGTTACCGTGTGTCATTAACAGCAGTATTTTATTATTTCGAAAGTATGACTTCTAAATTACAAAAGCAAGAAGGTGTTCTCTTATATATATTAATTTTTCTAATTTTTGCATTTAGGGCACAAGTTAAGTGCATATATTTTTTTAATAAATTTGTATAAAAAATAAAAGTAAATATTAATTTTA